AGGGGACATCTACGTAACTCAGAAAAAAAAAAAGGACATCAAGTACAATTGACTTTTTTCAGTCAGGTTGCAATGTTGCATGTTTGTCACTGTGTGGCAGTATGCCAAATAATAAGACAGAACAGGAATTGGTTGCATTTGACCAGCAGTTGACAGTATCAGCGGCTCAGATATTTCAGTTTCCAGGTATTCTAAGGACCCTCAGAATAACTCAATTATCTTTTCCAACTTGATGAATGGACAGATTATGGATTCTTGCTTTGCCTTGAATGCCACCAAGGTAACAGATGTAAAATCCCATATTTGAAGCAGAATATCGTGTGCACATATCATTTATGCCTATGTGGATTATGAGAAGTCCAACTGTAGCTCCTTTGGAGGAAATAGATAAGGAAAGTACAACATTTTGATGGGGGTCTGGTGTGGTCTGGGATGGATATATAAGACAGCTATCAAGGATATCAAAATGTTTGACAAAATGTATGTACTGTATCACGTACTGCAGACAACTTGTGGGGAGACAGATCAAAGATCGATGAGCTTTTATCCTTTAGGTATGACTTCTTCCCTTTCTTACATCTTTTATACAAATCTTCCTTCCAGGAAGCATCAGATTCCAACTCTTTGGAAGCTATAAGCAATATTATTCAGGATGCATCTGATCACTGTAAATACGTAGTGACAAAGAAAACACACTTTGTACAGTATCTTCAATCTGGATGGCCCAAAGAGCTTTTAAAACTTCTCCAACTTTTTATTCAAATGGGGTAACCAGCCTTATGCCCACCGACATACATAAGAAAGGAAGATAGGGATGATGACTCCTGGTTAGCTTTCCTAAAATTCCAGGCCTTAAATTTGCTCTCCTCATGATCCAGTACAAGTTAGAAGTTTCTGTTGTGTATACAGTGACATGCCATTTCCCCCCATTTAAACGGAACCAGAATGTGAATTTAGGATAATATGTAGTTATGAATGAAACAAACTTATGAGGAAAACATTATCTATCATTTGATTATTCAGCTGCCAACTTCTTTCAAATGTTACTATCTTTAGTTATATAGTATCAACTATAGATAAAGGTAAAGGCCCCCTTAGACATATGTGCTACTCGTTCCCAACTCTAGGGGGCAATGCTCATCTCCATTTCAAAGCCGAAGAGCCACTGCTGTCCGAAGACGTGTCTGTGGTCATATGGCCGGCATGACTAAAAGCCAAAGGCGCAAGGAACGCTGTTACCTTCCCACCAAAGGTGGTCCCTATTTTTCTACTTGCATTTTTTATGTGCTTTCCAACTGCTAGGTTGGCAGAAGCTGAGACAAGTAATGGGAGCTCACCTCGTTATGAGGCACTAGGGATTTGAACCGCTGAATTGCCGACCTTTCTATCGAGAAACTCAGCGTTTTTGCAACTGAGCCACTGCGTCCCTAGTATCAACTATAACCATGCCTTAAGTGTTCATGCTTACTTTAAGCTCATTGATGAATAACCCTCATTTTGTTTTATTTTCTTTTACCAATCATTGATTTAGATTTAAAGATGGCTTGGTCCTTCAATGGACCTGCTGAGGACTTGAGCTGTTTTTCACATCTTCCTTTTTCATCAGAAAAGCTATAAAAATCAAACATTCAGTTGAACAATCAAATTATTTAGTCTATTATAGAGTAAAAATGGTCTCTCTCTCTCCCACCTCCCTCCCTCCCTCCCTCTCCCTCCCTCTCCCTCTCCCTCTCTCTCTTCCCCACCCATTGGATCAGTTTCAGAATATCAAACATTAACAAATCTCTTATTTGGTGACCAATCTTAAAAATAGCATTCTATTCTATTCGTTACAATGTTCTAGGTGGCTCAGTGGCTAAGACACTGAGCTTGTCGATCAGAAAGGTTGGCAGTTCGGCAGTTCAAATCCCTAGTACAGGTCTCCTGCGTGAGCAGGGGGTTGGACTAGATGACCTCCAAGGTCCCTTCCAACTACTCTTACTATTACTATTGTTACTATTCAAAAATCTTTTAAAGATCTTCTAACTTAATACAACTGTAACTTTCCTCAGATCAGGTCGCCCCCCACTCCCTGTTGTATTGGTCTATATATCTGAAAATTGCTGGAAATGCTGAAATTTATAGTCTTAATATAATCCTAGTTTTTGGTACATCATTTTTCCATCCAACAATAGACTAAAAGAAAGCTGCTTTGTTTGGTGTGCAATTTTATGATGGGATTAAAAAGGTTCTGTTAGCAGAAGCTTTGACTTGGAAAATCTGCAATCCATTATCCATTACTTTTATTATTTTTTTTAAGTTTTTGAATTCTAGTATTATCTTCTTGGCTTTAAGACTGAAAACAATTATTCTAATGGTATAGCTATAAGTGATAACATGAAGCTATTGAACAATGGCACAGTAAAGGTGCTATATTTTATTACCTATTTTGTTTTTGAACAGTAGACAGCTTTTTTAAAAATCATTTTTATTATTAATAATGATGCCTACAAGAAAGTAGGGATTAATAGAAAAATCTATCGCAGCTAATTCCTCCAGAAGCACTTGGGCCATAGGAATCCATCAATTTCTATTTGGTTGCATCAAGTTCACTGATTTAATCCTGTTGAAAATGACTCTCTGTCAGCACATGGGGAATACATGGGGTGGGAGATGGGGTTAAAAATTACCTAGGAATGATTGTTCTGTGGGAAAACAGTGGAGGCAACATTACAGTGAGGTACATCTTTCATTATCTGATAACACTAAAATTTGAAGAACTTTAAAACTATAGTTTGCTGAACATCTCATACCCTTGTGTGGATGAGTAAACAATGTGTTGAATAAGAGCCAAGAATACTTAGTTCAAGCTCTAGTCAATAAATTTTGAGGTGTTTTTGGACATCTTAATGCTACAAAGTTTGGGGGATGTTAAGATTGCACTCATCATCTCTGTTTCTCCTCAACTTCTTGGATGAAGCAGAGGATACAAATATATTCACTTGATCATTAATCAATCAATCACTAAAACGTTCAATCTTTCCGTCCCAGGATTCACTGGTTGATGTGTCAAATCATTTCCCCTAGTGCAACTTTCAGTATAAACCTTATTAAATAAGAATATTACTGAAGTGGAACAATATGTACCAGCCCTGAGGATTCTTAAAGAAAGTTAAACTTAAAATAAGAAATAAAGCTGAATTAAACTGTAATAAATAAAACAAATATTTCAAATGCTTTCAAATACATATGACCCTTGTCCCACAAAAGAGAAACATGGATTATGGATCTTGATAACTCCATGATATCTGCTCTGAAAAACCTAGCCACGGTTCCAGTTAAAAAGAAAAATAAATGTTTTAATACTATATTCTGGAGCGTCTCCAACAGAGCATAATTTTTCACATCCTCAAATCTCTGAGCCATATTATACTGGGGCAATGCCATTCCCTATAAAACTTTAAGGAATCAACCTACAGAATAATATCCTGCAGTGAGATCACATGTTGCAACCCCCAGAGTTTGGTTTAAATGCAGACAATTAGATGGTCTTTATTAAAAAGAATAGCACTGTTCAATTTTATATCCCTCTAATATTTGATTGTATATCTGGGCAAGACTGCTGATATGACACTTTGTTATAGATTGATCTCGGTTTTATTCATGGTTACTTATTATTTTCTAAAGTCTTTGCCTGAAATCTTTTAGGATCTTCCTACACCAGGGGTGTCAAATTCGATTTCATTGAGGGCTGCATCAGGGTTGTGTTTGACCTCGGGGGGCTGAATGGATGTGGCCAGGGTGGGCATGGCCAGCTCGATGTCCTGCAGCCCTCTGCCATGTGGCCCTCCTGGGTTCCGTTTTCGTTGGCAGAACGCTGAAGAAGGCTGTCACAGTCACTCGTGAGCTCCATTTTCATTGGCACTGCAGGCCAGTCCTTCACCGTTTCCAGGGCGACCCTGTGGGCCAGATCTAAGCATCCTGTAGGCCAGATAAGGCCCATGGGCCATGAGTTTGAGGATGGCTTTCCTTGTCTCCCTGAAAAACTCCAGTGTAAATTGCTACTTTGTTAATAATCAATTCTCTCAGATTTTCATCCCATAAAAATATGGTCCAGCATTTTTATTTTTTTTTTGCAATTTTCAAAGAAAGACAGAAAGAAACACTATGGCATTTGCAAAAGGGTGAAGGAGTCTTTAATCAAAGCATAAGCAACAAGGCTTCTCTTCCTTATTTCCAGTTTTTCAACTCTTCCTGATTTCTTATTTTGCTGCAACTATGGTGTTTGTTCAAACTGCTTAGAATATTTCATCATGATGCTATACCATAATGGTCAGGGGATGAAGGCTGCTGGGCTGTTTGCCATATCAAAAATTAATCAGTCAATCAATCAACACAATGAGTTTAGAATTAAAAGGGAAGGGGAAAAAAACACTTTAATGGTATTGCCAGTCTCAGATATTCTTTTCCTTTTGTTCCAAAGATATATGACTACTGCAGTTCATTTACAAAGCTCCTTAAAATTCTGGAAAAAAAAACTTATGGAATATGATACTACAGTTTATATTGTCAAATCAATCCCAAAAATATTACTAGAAGACAAAACCATTATGAAGCAGCAAAGGATCTAATACAGATACTAATTCTGAAAAGAAGTCTACACTGAATTAAGGATTATTTTAATACATTGATACCAGGAACTTACAAGCTATAGGAACTTCCTTTCCATGTATCACTGTGGATTTATTTCTTATTTGTTAAAGAGGGTTGTGGGGTGGGAAAGTGACAGTGTGTTCAGAAAAGTTTCATTGGTTCATCACATTAAGTCAATTTCCTGCTCCTTGTTTGCAGGAATGTCAAATGAACAGCCATATTTGACTCACATTCATATGTAGACATGGACACCCACTAATGTGTGAAAGAGTGTATTTAAGGTTTCCTTTTTCCTATTTGCTGTATTTTTTCACATGCCAGTTGTTATTTGTCTGCAATCAAGCAGTTCCTGGAGGCAACTGAAAAAAAAAATACTGGGGAGATGTTTGAATAAAGGCATGCTAAGTACTTGTGAGTAAGCCTGAGACATAGATGGAAATGTGGATGCAAAGGGTTTTTTTTGGGGGGGGGGGACAGGGGTGATCAAGCATTCATCAGGTAGGAAATTGTGCTGACTTGTGATTCTTAACTGCCTCTCTTAAAATTCCTGTGTCCTGCCAGTTGATTATCAGAGATGCACCTAAACTAACAACTAAAAGCAATCACAAAAAAGCCACAAGAAAGAAAGGAATTACATAATTCCTTTCTTCCTGGTGAATCAAAATCCTGGTGAAATTAAAATTGAGTGAACCATTCAAAAAGTAGGGGGAAATTAACTTGTCAGAAAAGGGTAGCATAGCTGAGGAGCTACCTTTGAAAACAATCTGTTTACCACCAGCTACAATATGTCTTCCTTTCTGACAGAACCTTGAATAAGGTTTTGGAAGATGATCATAATCAGTGCTTAGCTCCATGAAGAAGTATGAGGTCTTTTGGAAGGCCTGATCAGAAGCTTTATATTATGAAGCGGGTTCAAAATATAATATATGCTAACTTCTTTGGCATTTTTTTTTTTTTGTTCTTAGTTGCACCCAGCTTCCAGCTTCATCAGCACCTTGGCAATCTCTCTACCATTGGAGGTAACTAAACGTCTTTGGTAACTAAACTATTCAAGTTCATTTGTAAATATAATCTTGAATCTAAAAATAATAGCTTATGGACCTGCCTGGAAATATAGGCATGCAATCCAAGAGGTAACATCAAGGAAAAAAATAGTTGAGATGATGCAGATACTGACTATATCCATTCTTGTGTATCTTCAGAAATACTTTTTGGAGTTTGAATCCAAACCTTGCATAGTCTAAAGGAACAGATTGTATGATTTGGGTATATAACACACACACACACACACACACACACACACACACATTCACACACACACACACCCCTGTAATTAATGATGAGAAAATAATTCCACTTATACAATTTGACTTTGCCCAACATAACTATGTATCTCTAAATAATCTGCAAATATACATTGTAATTGGCTGTGAGAATCATCTTGAGGAACAGGAGAAGAACTGCAACTAAGACAACAATTAGATAAGAGAAGTCTGAGTTCAAATCTGGAATGTAGTTTGAAGAAGCATCTCATATTTGACCCTCCCTAATTCTCTTTAGAATAAAGGTGAAGGGAGGCACTTTCAAACTTGTAAGGTTCTGTTACTTTATAATAAAAGTAGTTTACTTTTCATAACTTTGATTTCCAAGTCTGGTTTATCTCGGAGACCTGATACCAATCCCTGCAAATATTTTACTCTCTTTCTAGTCAGATAGAAGGTTCTGTTTTGACCTCAGATTTCTCTTTTCTGACCATTGTCTTAGTTGCAGCTCTTCCTCCTGTTCTTTAAGGGGATTCTTATAGCCCATTATGTACCTACATCGGTGCAACAATTGAACCAATATAGGATCTACCAAGGCCTTCTACTACATTATTTTCAAGCTGGTTCAATGCTATTAGGTTTTCAAATCATTTTTTGTTTTGGAAGCTGGGGTCAGCCTTTGCAAGGCACCAATGTTGTTCTCTTGCAAGCCAAGATTGAACAATAACATTTAGGCTCTCTCTGCCATTTGCTTCCTGCAGTGATGCCTTCATCATGTCACTGCTTTGCTCTTAGGTATGCACTTAATTTCTCATGGAACATAACATCTGATTAATATGAAATATCATCCCCTTTATTCAGAGATTAGGATAGTCTCTGTAGAAATAATGGGATGGAAGACTAGTTCCCCAAGGACATATTTAAATGACACATTTTGGAAACACATAAAATTGTTATGGAAATGTAAGCCTTCTATTGGAAATAAAGTTGCATGGGGAGGCCAACGGCAATGTCTTGATAATGATTAGGCACCACTTTTTGGACAATATATAGTAACCCCTTTCCTTGGCTGGTTTGCTTGGGCCAATGTCCAAGCTGCTGTAAATTGTTGAGGTTCCATTGAAGTTGGAGAAGTTTGGCTGAGTTGCATCACTACAGAATGTGGACAGGCTGTATAACTTATCTCCTGTTGGGAAAGATTTCAATGAAGAAAATTTCCTAGTTATGTGGAACATAATCATCAGGGATTTTGTCTCTGGAATAATGTCAGAACTAGGATTTCCCTGTCAGTTGCTCTCAGTCATGGCTTCACCCTTACAGGAAGTAACAAACTGGTGGTTCTTTGGTTGTTTGAAGCTAGTCCCTGATAGACTCACATTGTTCTTCAGTCCCAGTAAGAGATGATGAGGCTACTGTTATTTTAAAGACATGACAAGAAACATCAAACCAATGTCATTCACAAGGTAGCTGCATTGTAATTTGCTCTCAAGGATATAGTCCTCCCTCAGTTATTGTTGGTGCTGAATCTTAAAAATGTTTAGCAGGAGATGATAATATACATTTTTGCCCAGGTCTTCAGTTACATTTGTGCTGTGATGTTTTCTTTTTGTTCACTCTTAATGTTCTGGTAATCCTGTTATTATAAGGTTGTTCACTTAATCTTAATGCTATTTAAGGTTTTAGAAGGAGTTGAAGACTTTTAGATAGATTTTTGTAACAGAAAACATAAAATTGTATCATACTGTTTTCCCTGTAAATTGTATGAGTACTTGCTTTGGGTTTGCTTCATTAACTGAGCATGAGATTATAAATACTATGAATAACAGTGTTAATGTAATTCAGTGCAGAGTATTAGAGACTAAAACATCCTCTTTTCTCATGTGATGATTTCCAAGATAGGAACATGCTGGATGGATCCTTGTCGAATTAAAACAAACAAACTTGGTCTTCAACAGGGCAGAAGATCAGGGATGGACTACACGCTTCTACTTTTAAGTCACACTTGAACTGGTCCTCTTGATCTTGGCCTTTCATGAAAAGTTATGTTTAGCAACTGTCACAATCACCAAAGAAATGTGAACTGTGATTAAGGAGATGAAACATCAAGGCAGGGCTAGGGGTGGCCTTTGTGGACAGAAAGCAGAAGGTTAGGGCATAATAATAATGCAGTCTAATAGGAATGCATGGCCTTCGTGATGATGGGTTGGGTAGGTGGATGTTAAATTTAGGCAAAGAAAAGCTGCCTCTTCAGGAATGTGGTTAATAAAGAAGCCATTTCTGTGTCACATTTGTAATAAATCGTCTCATGTATTAGAAAGGGAGTGTGTGAAAGGAAACTTTTTTTGTGTGGACATGGAAAGAAGAGAGTGGAGTAATTCACAATTCTTTCATTACTTTTAAATTAATATATATATATATATATATATATAGTAATTGCTCTAAAACACTGAATATATCATGTATGGAGTTCTTGGTGCTGTCTGAGCTTGGCTGTTTTCTTATTACCTGATTAGGTAATACCATCTGTTCTGGGGAGTGTGGAATTTATCCATTTGCTATATATCTGGTCTGGGGTAGTCCTCTTCACACATAGATATCTCTATAAAATAACTTTAGGATAGGAATAGATTTCTGGTCCTTCTGCAGTTGTTGGACTTCAATATCCTTCAGGTCCAGGAAACAGGAAGGAGTGATGGGCATTGTAACTGAAGAACATTTATTTTATTTTATTTATTTATTTTTATTCGGCTTATATGCCGCCCTATCTCCCAATGGACTCAGGGCGGCTCACAATAATAAAAACACAAGCCACAATACAAAATAAAATCTAAAATCTAAAAAAATTAAAATTTAACCCTTAAACCCTTAAAACCCCATCAGTCCAGGTTGAGGGATTTGAAAAGCCAAGTTTTTAATTCACGGCGGAAGGTACGAAGGTCAGGCGCTAATCCAAGGGGAGTTGATTCCAGAGGGTGGGCAAAGAGAAGGCTCTACCCCTGGGGGCCATTTAACGTTGCAATATAAAGATTAACATTTCTTCAGACAGATGGCAAACCTCCTGGAAACATTTAGTGATATAATTTTTATGGGTGTATATATGCAACATTTAGAAATCATAGAAGCATTCTGAATCCTGAAAATTAGTTCAAACAACTCAGATCAATACACCTTCTTGGAGATGGGAGAGCAAGTTGTTCAACTGGGAAGAGCAAGATGACAACACACTAACAGCTTCTGAAATAAGTGTCTAACCTGTGTCAGGCCTTAACATTTCGGGTTTAGCCAGACACCTCCAAAATGCTACCTAAGAACAAGACAAGATCAACCTAAGCAACGATACCATGCCCCTTAAATCTAATAAAGTGGAGAAACTGATAAGGATCAACTCCTATGTCCCCATTGCAGAATCAACTAAAATGTGAATAATGGATCCATCATCCCAGTATTCCTTTCACTTCCAAAGTTTATACAAGATGGAACCTAATAATAACACATTCCACGTCCTCAACCCTCCAAAGACTCTGCCCAAATCATTCCCAGAGCACAGAGTTAGCCTCCTAGAGCAAGCTTCTTGTGCCCCCATAACAATAATGACATTAAATCTTTCCATCTGTCTTCAGAAACACTGATCTTTACATTGCAACATTTAAGTGTTGTCAGTTACAATGCCAATGACTCCTTCTTGCTGTCTGTGTTTCCTGGACCTAAAGGAAACTGAAGTCCAGCAATTGCAGAAGAACCAGAAGTTTATTCCTGCCCTAAAGAAAGGGGTGAAATCCAGCAGGTTCTGACAGGTTCTGGAGAACCGGTAACGGAAATTTTGAGCAGTTTGGAAAACCGGCAAAAACCACCTCTGGCTGGCCCCAGAGTGGGGAGGGAATGGAGATTTTGCAATATCCTTCCCCTGGAGTGGGGGGGATTTTGCAGTATTCTTCCCCTGCCATGCCCACCAAGCCACACCCACAGAACCGGTAAAAAAAAAAAAGGACCACTGCCTAAAGTTAAATTTTAGGACAAAACATGGCCTGCCCAGGATAGACTGGTTGTTCCTAAAAAGCAAGAATAGATAACTCTATAAAAAACATGGGAGTGGGTTCCACAAAACAAACTTAATACTGCAAATTTCATGGTTATTAAGAGCAACACTTACAAAATGCTTCTAATTAATCCAGGAAGAAATGTCTACTCACCATTTAAACTGTTTAAGGGCATACAACAGCACAACAAAATAAAATAAACTTGGACATATTTTGCATTGTTTTCATTGAAGATTCTTGTAGAAAAAATAGCAGTGATATCTGATTTTGGGGGAAAAAAACATAATCCCCAGACTTAAACTATTATTGTTAAATGGGAAAAATCCAAATAACTAATGACTTGAATTTTTTCAACTGGAATTAAAATCAAAACAGACAGACAGATAGAAACCAAATTATTTATACAATGGGTTGTATTTAAACAAATTGTATCTAGTATGGAAACCTACAGTTGTGTTGGCCTTCAGCCATATTGGCCAGGAATTTGGTTCCTGCATTTCTAATACATTTGGGCTTGCCATTTTAGGAAAACTTATTATAGAAGTTTTTGGTTGTATGAACATGATTTGAAAATGATTGAAAAATACTATTAAGATCAAAAGAAATCAGAGTGATTAAAATAACATAGAATCTCTTTAGCCTAGTAACATTCAGTATGATAGATTAAAAATCATGGATGATTGAAGTTCAATGTTTTTATATACTCAATTTGCCACCAGTGGTTTCCATAATTTCCAAACACAGATTCAGATTATTTATTTGAAAATCATCAGAAGCATTTTTGAATATATATGTTTATTTTTTATTTTGCTTACACATCATTATACAATCACATATGCTGAAAATTGAAATCATATTTCTCTCTATGTTCTCTCAATGCTGTATGTATGTGTCTATATTTGTTGCTTGAACAATGAAGTTATGGGTGCTCCAACAACGGAGCACCCATAACTTATTGGTTATTGTTGCCCAATCTCTTAAAAAGAGATTGGACAACCACTTGTCTGAAATGGTGTAAGGTTTCCTGCTTGCAGGGATTTGGAGTAGAAGAAGTTCCCTTCCAACTCTGTTATTCTGTGCAACTTCCTACACATTGGAATCCAAATTTCATTTGGAATTTGCACATGTTCTGATTTTGCAGTGTAGTATGGCCTCAGATATTGTTCTGCCCCAGCTTCGGATTTCCAGAGAATGTGACACACACCAAGCTCCGCAAACACTGTTTAATTCCAAACAAACCCCTTTCAAGAATGCAGGCTTCCCGTGCAAAGAGTCCTTATCAAAGTTATTAAGAACAAAGTCCGACAAAGGTTGGCAACCAGCCCAGAAAACCAGATATGAAAAGTTGCTCAGTCTCCAAGATGCTCTGTAGTAATGAAACATTGTTTCTAGCAAGAAAGCACTAGCTGCGTGTGACTTAAATAGGCTAAGGGAGTGGCCAATTATCCCCAACCCTACTCTCGAGTAGACCTCCTCCTCCTGAGTAGCCACTCCTGCCTTTTGGCAGCCCTGCATGCCCGAGCATTGAGGAAAGGCTCCTCCACTTCGCTCTCTCCACTGAAAGGAGCCTCTGGAGGTTCTGAAGGCCCTGGCTGAGTCTCTGCCTCTGGCATCACAGCCTCCTTGCTGTCCGATGCGAGCGCTGGCTATGCAGGCTCCTGGCGCAACACCACACCAGCCTCCTTTTCATCGGGATCAGCCACGATCCGCGCAGTGCGCTGGTGGGCCACAACAGATATGCATTATACATTTTATGTTTTAGGCTGCAATCCTTGGGATAGGAACCCTGAGGGAATACAACTTATTAGAGTTTCTCCTTCAAGATCAAGATTTATTTCCTTTCCCAGATGCCATGGAAAAATCCACAGCCCCTCCTTCCTGTGATCAGAGCTCTGGAACTAGGAGAATGTTTGGAAACAAGCGATATGCAAGTAGGGAATCAAAAGAATTGAAAGCATTCCTGATCACATTCCCTACCTGAGGAAAATTTATATATGTTCTGGAATTGCAATAGAAACTCAATTATTTGGGAGGAAAAAATGATAGGCAGATGATCATTTCTACTCCTTTTCATTGGGATGGTAGAGAACATTATCAAGACATGAAGGCTAAATTACATATAAGGGCTCGTGTTAGCAATTTTCCTTACAGGTAGTTCTCACTCATTTAGAAACATTCAGAGTTATGACAGTATAAAAAAAATAGATTTCCAACCAATCTTCATATTTATGACCATTCCAGCATCCTGCTGTTAATAATCACCAGTTGTGTATCTGAGACAAGTGGAGTTAATAGAGCAGGCAGAAGAAGTAAAATTGTAAGTCACTTTCATGTGTTGGTTTGCTTAATGACTGAATGGAAATGAGATTGTAAGCTTTTTTCAGTCATGTGATTTTCCACTTAGTGGTTGCAGACTTTAGCAACAGAGTTATTGGTATCAATTATAGTCACTAAACGAGGAAAACCTGTATTCATTAAACTTTATCTACCTGTTGTTATGATCACAGGCAAATCTATCAGCAACTTTCTCCTGGTGAAGAGACTTTTACATTTCCTCCCAAATATACAAGACATTTTATAACTCTACTACAAGAATGAAAAATATTTTTGGGAACACGGAAACTCTTGCAAACTGCTGACACTTTTCTTGCAAAGTATGTATTGCAATAGTAATTGTCCTGAGGAAATTAAAAATGCAAGTTTGAGAGAGTCAGAAATACATTGAACCTCTAGCTATGTAAATACTGCATGGAAAATCAAAAATCAACCACAAGCATCAGTGACACAATATACTGTAATTAGAGCAGCAGCAGCAAAATAAAACAAAAAGGATAAAAAGGATATGCCAAGATGTGGAGGTTTGTTCATCTAATTGTCAGCCAGGAGCTGTCCTCACCTCCATAGTAGCTCCTCATGTGTGCTAAAAACAAAACAAAACAAAACTGAAGGTGGTTTGGAAGAGACTTCTGAGGAGAGTAAATGTTTGAAATAGAAAGTTATAAGGTGGGAATGAAGTGTTAGTTGCTGAACAGTTCGGAATGTGTGCCCTACCTAAGAGAAGCAGCCTTGTGGAGGTGAAATTGGCAGACACATGCTTTAAATTAGTGCTTTTCAAACCAGGAAGTGACAATTATTTGTTATGATTATTTGTTAAATAATCACATCTGTCCTTAATTACCACATGAGCTAACCGTGTTTGCATTTCTCACCGGTCAAAATTCAAGAGCAATAGGTTTGTAGGGGCCCTC